GTGTGTGTATGTATATATAATAATACATTACATTTATAAGCGCCTTTCAAAACACTCAAGGACACTTTACAATCAAAACAAGAACAATAAAACCACAGATATATATATATATATGTGTGTGTGTGTGTGTGTGTGTGTATATGTATATATATGTATATGTGTGTGTGTGTGTGTGTGTGTGTGTGTGTGTGTATCCCCCCCCCTGTTAATTTTCATTAATTTATTTTTTTTCCACCAGAGGTACACCAACAATTTTACCTTCTTTTGTCTTTTGGTTTCAGGCCAACTCTGAGGAATTCATTCCAATTTTTGCTAACAACCCGCGGGAGCTCAAAGCCTACCTCGAGCACATGATTGAGGTGGATCCCAATTCGTCTCAAGGTGTTTATGACACATTGCTGGAGCTCCGACTGCAAGACTGGGCACACGAAGAGGACCCTGAGGTCAGAGCAACACAACAATGAAGTGATGAAGCATTTGTTTTATGTATCCTGTTGATGCAGTTTGTACAGTACTCGTGTACTGTGTTTGGTGCAGGGTTTTTTTTTTTTGTGGAGCAATGTGTTTCATTGATTTGATAAATACAGATTTTTTTGTTGGAATGCATTTCATAATTATCTTTTTTTGATTTAAAAAAAATATATAAATTTATTTTTTTAATTTTTAACATGAACTGTTTGCAGAGAAAAAAGATCTTGCAGGATGAAGCATTGTCACTCCTGAGGAGTGACAATACTGTGTTTGATAAAGCCCTGGTCCTCTGTCAGATGCACAATTTTAAAGAGGGTGTCCTTTACCTGTATGAGAAGGGCAAACTGTAAGTACACAATACAGTCCATGCATGCAAATCATGTTGCAGAACAGATTTTTTTGCCTTCACTCCACGTTCATACCTCACACTCCTATGAGTTGACAGTGCACCAAACTCGACATTGACACATGCAAGTATGCAGACCTCGAGAATTATGTAAGAATAATGACGGGGTACCTGCCCTTCGTGGTCTCCGGCCCAGCTCCTAACCCACTCCTGGTCCCTGGTTAAGTGCAACTGTTTCGGCCACTTATGCCGCCCTCCACTGCCTTGACTGTTTTTCTTGGCGTGGTTCACGATGACATGTTGGATGATATGCTTTTCTTATGGTGAATTGTGGTGGGTCTATGTGACGACCCAGAAGGGAGACCCATTCACCATGAACCTGGAGCTTTAAGGGAAGGGAGGGAGTTGTTTCTGGGTTCAAAGTGCTGACAGACTGATGACTTTTAAAGGGGTGAACAAAGGTAGTTTCCTGTATCTTAGGGAAACCGTTTTGTTGTGGAGAGTAAACGAGACATGACTTGCCTTTGTCTCATCATCTCATCATTTGCCACATCTCCCATGGTTCACGCGGGGTCTTAAAAAAATCTTACAAGCATTGAATTTATAAATTTGGAAATTATCCCTTACTAAGTCTTAATTTTTGATATCTGGGTCTTAAAATGTGTGCTGGATGTAACTTGTCTGTGTCTCACATTTTCTCAAAAGTGTCTTATTTTAATTCAACAGCGTAGCTGAAATGAATGGTACAGGGGAGCGAATCATTGAAAGCACAAAAAAACAGCCCCTGGTCGCAATCTGTGGTCAAAATACAATGAAAGTTCACTGAAAAGCACGCGCTACAACACCACTGCACAAACGCCCTCCAGCACCGATGTTTTTCACTTTGCCTGTTGTGTCTGCTCTGTGCTGGTGTTGTAGCTCCATTCTTCCATCCTCCACGTCGGAGAAATACATTAACACAAACACACAGATTTTATTTCTTTGTTGCTGATATGGCTGTGTAATAGGTTTAATAAGTTTTTTAAAGTAGTCTTAAATACTGTAGGTCTTAACTTGAAGGAACATGTAGGAACCCTGATCTCCACATGACCGTCGTTTGCTTTTTACCCCACAGGTACCAACAGATCATGCACTACCACATGCAGAATGAGGTGTATGATAAAGTGGTTGAAGCTTGTAAACGTTACGGTGACCAGGAAGGTTGCCTGTGGGAACAAGCCCTGGGCTACTTTGCCAGAAAAGAAGAAGACTGCAAGGCCTACATCAGTGAGGTTTTGGGTCACATTGACCAAAATAATCTGATGCCTCCTTTGCTTGGTATGTTTTAAAGTCTACATGTCATTTTTTTGCCCGTTGAAAAAAAAAAAAAAACCTCATAAATTTGAGCTTGATCACTGTGTGATTGCAGTAGTGCAGACGCTGGCACACAACTCGACAGCAACCCTTTCCGTTATCAAAGACTACTTGATCAACAAGTTACAGAGGGAGAACCAACAGATTGAGGATGATGAACGTAAAATATGCCAATATCGGGAAGAAACTGCTCATCTACGCTCTGAGATTCAGGAGCTCAAGACAAGGTGGGTTAATAGGAGTTTGTTGTACCTTTAGTTTTTGCTGCACCGCACAGTGGTAATACGAAGATGGTCCACAATCAGTTCCGTGACACTGTTCGAATGTTGATTAAGTGGGTTTTCAAAACATTATTTCCTCTTAAAAATCAATGATACAGTACTTGGAATAGTTCTCTGTAAAATCCAAGCTGTTGCAATCTTAAAAACCATATTTGTCATTTCTGGTGATCATTGACATTATTTTTAAATAGTGTATGCAATGCGACTCAAAAGCAACATAACAGGTTGTGTTCTCTGTTAACCAGAGTGCCATTCAAGATTTAGAAGTTAGAAGAAAATTGCATTTATCTGGTAACTTCACTTTAAAATCACTTGGCTCTGTCTCATTCATTTGTTCAGCTAACAACCGGGGGGCAGAGCTAGGGGCTTGCAACTCGGCGGTCGTCTACTTGTTCAAAGAAAAGTGAGCGCCGCCACAATGATTAAAAAAAGTGGCACTTTCACTCATGGATGCAGCATTTTATCACCAAACTATCGAATTACGGCACACTGAACACCCATTGCCCCCCCAAAAAAAAACTCCCGACCGCCTTTTAAAGCTTAGCAGTGCATTCAAGGATGTGCCTCTGAGAAGCTAACATGTTAGCTTCCACTATTCTGTGTTAACACTGCAGCTCTACTTTGACATGATAGCGTTTTTGTGTGTCTTCGTCTTATCACCTGCCAAGCCTTGGGTGGGCAAACTTGTAGTTTTGCGTAAATTAGTTGCTCTGTCAGATCAAAATCCAAAATTCAGAAGACTTAACTTGGACACGCTTTCATTAATTAATTAATTGCATTTTCATTAATTAATCCTCCTGCTAAATTACCATATTTTCATGACCATACGGCGCACCGTATTAGAAGGCGTAGTGTCAGTTTCGGGTGCTATTTCTGTATTTAACACATACACAAGATGCATTGTATATTTGGACGCAGGCATGGTAAAAACATACACTAGCATACATGCATGCTAGCGTATTGTTTTTAAAAAGGCAGCGGCAATAAAACTGAGTTCGGTTGTATTTAACAATGTGCTCACGTTATTTTTTGAACAATTCTTATTATCAAGTCCATCAAAATCCGAATCTTCCGTATCCAAAATGAAAAGCTAGGCAAGTTCACAATCAAACGCGCCAGGTTCCCGGTCATTGTGTCGGCTGCAAAATGCTATCTTGGTTGACTCTTCAACAGTTGTAAACAAGTCAATACACTCACCAGATAAACCAACCTCCTCACTTCCCATTCTCAAAGCCTGCTCCTTTTTGACTCCCAGCCACCGTTGGAAGCCGACTGTTTTTTTTTTTTATCCTTCCTGGTCCTAGAAACCACAATGATATTGTCCCTTCTTTGTTTTTATTTCACAACACTGTTTTTGTTTTTTAACTTGATTTGGCTCAGTGTGTGTGCTTGTGCCGCTGCTGCGTGACTTAAGCACATTCTTGATGCCAATTGGCTGTTGGCCATGAAATGCCATGAAAGGTTTACACCAGCAAACCGAAATGGACGAAGGAGCAAAATTGTTGCTTCAAAATTAAATTCGCGCCACCCAGCACACAACCGTGCCTGACCAGAAATACTCAGCTTGCATTTGACCATGAAACACAAAATTCTCCAGACTAGACTAGGCTAGTCTAGTCTCGTCTTGTCGAGTTTCAAGAATTTCGAGTGCCTGACCGAAGCTCGGCCTTAGCAGCCAGCCCCCGATGAAAAAAAAAAATCTTGTTTTGTTCCTCGTGGGTGAGGGTCGACAGAGGGCAAAACATTGTGACCTTGGACACCCAAGATCACCTGGGACATCCCTGGGTGCGCTTGCCACCCGCCAAATTACGATATATTTCCCTTGGGGTTTTTTTTTTTCTTCTCTTTACTACAATGTGGTTAAAAATAAATATGATGCAATATCCAAACAAATAAAAACACACAGAAATAAAACACTTGAAAAAATCATAACTATTGCTCATTAACTGTACCAGAGGAGGGGGAAGGAAGGGTAGAGGACTACAGCTCCGAATTGGAAAAGGTTTTCTTCCAGAATAACATGGAGAAAATCTGAGACAGTGTTTCTTCTTTAAAATAATTGATTTTTGTACACCGAGGGAAAATACGTCTTTTTCTGTTTAAAAAAAAAATTAAAATAAAAAATAATAATATAATAATTACATAACGTGCTAACCAGTCGCCACTCGTGTTGCCCCTGGTGAAACTCGTATTTATTGTTAAACAAAAAGCCTGTTGCTCCAATGGCGTGTCTTCTAATGATTAATAGTCAAGAAGGTCGGTCACACATGGAAACTCAAATAAGTGGATGTTGTTCATCTATTGGTGCCCTGCGATTGAGGATAAGCTGATTTCGAAAATGTATGTATGGATGAATAAGCCAGTTCTGTCCTGGGCTGCTCCCTAGACACTCTGGAGGAGGTGGGCAACAGGAGGATGCTAACTAAGCTAAAGCTATGATGGACAGTCCCTCCCACCCCCTCCAGCCCGCCCTGACAGCACTAGGTAGCTCCTTCAGCCAGAGACTGTTACACCCGCGCTGCAAGAAGGAGAGATACCGCCGCTCGTTCCTACCCACTGCTGTCAGGCTGCTGAATAAAAAATAAAATAAAATGATGTGGAAGACAATTGTAAATAGCACTGCGACCTTATGCATATCTGTATTTATATTGCACTTAATTGAACAGTGTTTGTTTTCTTTTCTTCTTTCTCCCCATTATCTTGCTGCTGTGGACTGTAAATTTCCCCATTGTAGGACAAATAAAGGATATCTTAATCTTAATCTTAATAAATTTCTTTAATTTTACAAAATTGTAAGAGAACAATACAGTCATACCTCGGTTTTCGACCATGATCCGTTCCAGAAGGCTGTTCGAAAAGCGATTTGTTCGAAATCCGAAATTATTTTATGAGCCCATTATTAGGGGCTAGCTAATACGCTATGCAGAAATAACATAAAAACAGTCAGATTTGCGTGAATCACAACAAACACGTCTGCTCACAATGAACGCTACACGAGGAAGCGTCACTTCCTCGTGTAAGGAAGCCGAGAGGAGTCAAGTGGCATATTCAGGTTTGCTCAGTTTGGTCGAAAACCGGTTTTTGGTCGTAATCCGAGGCGTAAAAATCTCGAATTTTCTGGTCGAGAACAGAGACGTTCGAAAACCGAGGTTTGACTGTACATGGAAAACAGAAGGTCTGGATACGTTCCTCTTTACATTTTAATTATGAAGTGCAAGTAATAATTCAAGTGCGGTGTGGTATGCACAGCTATTATTATTCTGTCTCCCAAGCGATCTGTGCATGAAAAGTCAGACACTTACTAACACTGTAACTCAAATCAATATATACCCACAGTGCCAAAATATTCCAGAAGACCAAGTGTAACATGTGCAACAGTCCCCTGGAGCTGCCATCCGTTCACTTCCTGTGCAGCCACTCCTTTCACCAACACTGCTTCGAAAGTTATGCAGACAACGAGACTGAGTGCCCAACGTGTGCTCCAGAAAACCGCAAGGTCATGGACATGCTACGTGCCCAGGACCAGAAGCGTGACCTGCATGACCGCTTCAATAGACAGGTACTAACACCACTGTAATAAACTCAAGATTTAAAGAAAAAAAAAAAGTTGTACACTCCATTCAGTGGAATGCTGTAAATGCTACATAAACTTGTGATGAGACCATATGTAGAAATAAATGTGTGTATGCATGCAAATATATACACACACATACACCCACACCCACACAATAGAGTAGCAATAAGATTACCATTAAGACATGGGATCAATAACCACTATCGTTTGTAGTATTGTTAAGATCTCGTCGATAGCCATCCCTAAATGACGATGTTGAGAATTCAAGACGAACATCGGATAGGTTTCTCACATTTAATACCGGGATGAAATAGTGATGAATATGTTGGTTGTTTTGTTTTAAATAATAATAATAATAATAATTTTGACTTTCATGTGTAGGGGCATTTTGAAATAGGAATCTTGTTCGTTGCTGCATCAGAAATGATTACACGGTCTGTATCGTTATTGTTTTTATGCTTTTTTTTTCCCCCAATAACTGGTCAGCTAATTTAGATTTGAATTCATTACAGACTTGACCCACGCATACTCAAGGTTCAGCACCAATGAATTATGTTGTTTCTTTTTTCCAATTTAAAAAAAATAATAAATTGGGTTAAATCTCCACTCTTTCCCTGCCCCCCATGCATATCAACACGAAACACGACACACAAAAAGATTCACCATTCTCGAAACAAATCCTCCCGACGCAGAAATCTCCCGTGATCTCTGAAAAACAAGAAAGAACAGACACTCCTAGAGATGTGATGATGTCTGCATTCCCCAGACGGCAAGGAGCGTTTTTCAAAGCAAGTCTATTTTGACCACAATGCTTCCATTGCCGAACCTATTCAGAAACACTTGGTGCATATCAGGAAGTTTCTCTTCTTTTTTGTTTTTGTGATTACCGTATTGGCCCGAATATTAAAACGGTGTTTTTTGCATTGAAATAAGACTGAAAAAGTGGGGGTCGTCTTATATTCGGGGTCGAGACATTATACCCATTCACGGCGCTAGATGGCGCCAGATATCAATGAAGCGAATGCTGAACTTCATTCCCCAGGCCAAAGTGTACCCCTGTCACGAAGAATAAAAATAAAAATAGCGGTAGCACGAAGAAGAAAAATAAAAAATAGTGGTAAGAAAGAAAAGAGAAGAAAATAATAGAAGAGATAAAAGAAAATGGAGAAACGTAGCGACAATCTGGAGAAAAGTGGGTCGAAGATGGGCCAGGTTAACCGGCAGCTGAGAAGTTATGATGTAATTTACATTTCAAAAACCAGAAGCCATTCATTTACGAATGTGATTGCACTTCAGTTTACATATTTAAAGTTCAGATATTAAGATTTGAATGAGGCAAAATAACATGCTTTTTCTCTCAAATATATTGTTAGAATCATTTGTTTCAGATGTACTGTAATTATTTTCTGTATAAAAATTAATTTGGTGTTCAAGAAGTCTTTTTTCAAACTTGAGTCTTGAAAAAGAGGGGGTCGTCTTATAATCAGGGCCGTCTTATATTCGGGCCAATGCGGTACTCAATATTTCTGCCTCTGAGAACTAACAAGATCAGTGGTGGAACAGAATGTGTATGCTTGGTGCTCTCTTGTCGAGAATATTGGAGCACCCCATACACAGAATGTCGGCTTTTGAGAAAATTTAATGCTTTTAGGTGTGCCTTATAGTGAGAAAAATACGGTACAATCCAGTTTGTCACTGAGTACAGTACTAGTGTGGAGTTACACCGACAGTACACAGAACTCTCATCCAGCGTGTTGTTGAAGTTCTGACAAATCAACCGGCAGACTTGTGCTTTTCTTTCATAAATCATAACCATAAAAAGAAATGCTACCGATATTCAACCAGCACAGGAGAACAATACACATGCTGCATGAACTTCCAGTAGATTAAGTGTTCAACATTTATACAGACCGTATTGTTATTGTGGGTGCTTTTACTTGGCTAGTGGATATATCCATGTAATGTTGCAATTTTACCTTTACCGTCAAGACTTGGAAAAATATATTTTGGAATTCAGACTAAATTGTGGGCAGCAGGGCTCGGTGCTAGAGTGATCGTTTCCCAAACCAGATGTTTGGGGTTCGACCCCTGGCCATTGCGACTATGTCGAAGTGTCCTTCTGCAAGACACCGAACCCTCTGTCGCTCCTGATGCTGCGTCATCAGTCAGTAAATGAGGGAACACTATGAGGCATTTTGCATACCGAAGGTAGAAAACCACTTTACAAGCCCATTTACCCACTGTATTTTTTTAAGATGTCCACTGCGTGTTATTACGTGGATGTTATTGAAGGAAAATGTAAGCTCTTTGTTCTTTCGGTTTTCAGTTACAGAGCTCTCATGATGGATTCTCTGTGGTGGCTGACTACTTTGGCCGAGGAGTTTTTAACAAACTCACTCTTCTTACGGACCCACCTGGCAGCAAACCTGTTGGGAATCTTGAAGTGAATTTGCAGAGAGATCTTCTCATCCGCACCAAGAGGAACTGCTAAAATAAAAATCATGATACTCATTCACACCAAGAAGAACTGCAAATTTCCCCAGTGTGGGACTAATAAAGGTTATCTTAAAAAAACATACATATTTGTGATTTGTGTCTGGTCTGTGGTTAACTGTATTTATGTCCAGGTTTCATCTGCAATGTTTCTCAATCATGTCTTACTATGTACATTTACATTTGATCCCTTCGACTTCTTTTCAGTACTTGTAAGGAACTTACTCTCGTCCCTTGTCTGGTTTGTGATTCAATAAATACATGATGTTAACTCTGGTGTTTGTCAGAATTACAGATGAAAAATTTGGGGGAAAAACGGTGTTGTGTTATATCTGAGTTGCAAATATATGGAAAACTGGTTTCTGTGAAAGCCAAATTTGTGGGTCAACTGGTGAAAAGATGCCAATCTTGGCCACATTAGTAACATATACTTGGAAAAAATTGTTGATTCTCCCTGTTAATGAAATAAAATCGCCCAGTGGTCACAGAAATATTTGAAATCTAGCAAAAACATTTAGAAATACCGTCAAAATGTAATGATAACCAACCATTGAAAATCAGATGTAGCTTTTAATTTGTGGTTCAACAGAATTAGTAAAAAAACAACAACTTATGAAACAGGTCTGGATGAAAATGATGGTACATCTAGAAGAGTTTGAAAATAATTTGACTATCAGGACATGTTTGACCAAGGTGTGTCCTCTAGGACAAAGATCTATCATCAGCATTTTTTTTCATTAAAAAAAAACCCTGCCTATGCCTTCTTCATGAGCCTGTTGACCTCGTTTCTGCTCATCATTACTTTTCCTGAATTCAGAAAAGTGAGTGATTCCTTTGCTTGGTGGTTTTTAAAATGTCCTCATTTAGTGGTTAACCATTAATTACTACATCTCAAATTGTTATCATTTATGTCATTTTGGAGAAGTAGTAGTCATTTCAAGGACGAATGTAGTCCTACATTGACAAAAACAGTCACCCAAAAAACAAGTAAACCATCTTTTCTCATTCTGAATGCTGTAGTGTAGTACATGACAAAAGCTAGGTCTCTAACAACTACACCACTAACTTTGATCACACGTGAATTTGAACAAGAAGGAGTCATTTTCAAGACAAACATAGCCCTACATTGACAAAAATATTCACCAAAAAATAAAACACCTTTTTCTTGTTCTGATTGCTGTAATACATGACAAAGGGAGGTCTCAAATTTTCCCATTGAGCCTCGCCTGATTGTAACCACGCCAGTGGTCAGGGAGCAGGTGCATTGACCTATTTGAACAGCCCGCCGTCTGCACTCTCTCTCCTCTGTAGCCTTTCCAACAGTGATGAGAAATGAATCTTCAAGATGTTTCATTAACTCGTGTTCACTGAGGACTCTTTGTTTAAGAGTGGGCTGAAACCATACTGACTTGCTATTTCATAAACCTCTTTCTTTAAAACAACACTGCCATCTAGAAGAGTCAAAAATTACAACTGGTTCATGAAGCAAATGGGAAGCTTCATTTTCTCATCACTACTTTCCACCACCACAATGTGTCCCCATGTTGCAAGGTTGTGTATGGACTAAGCGTAAACTGCCGTTGAGTAGCGTTCAGTTTTGTGCTCTGTGTCAACATCTTTGGAGCTTCTTCAAAGTTGCACTGTATTAATTTAGAACACAAACTCTTTTGACAAGATAATCCATCCCACCTCACTGGTGTGGCAAATCAAGATGCTGATGAGAGAGCATGGTTATTGCACAGGTGTGCCTTAGACTGACCACAATAAAATACACCTGTGAAATTTGCAGCTTAATCACACACCACAGATGTTGCAAGTTTTGAGGGAGCATGCATTTGGCATGCTGACTGCAGGAATGTCCACCAGAGCTGTTGCACATGAATTGAATGTTCATTTTGTTTATCATAAGTCATCTTCCAAAGGCGTTTTAGACAATTCGGCAGAATATCCAAATGGGCCTTAGGATCTGTACACTATTCGTGGAAGTTGAAAACATCCGTGTTCTTGCATGGCCAACATACTCCCGAACATGTCACCTATTTAGCATGTTTGGGAATGATCTGTATTGGCACGAATGACTGTGTGTTCCAGTTCCTGTCAATATCCAATAACTTGGCACAGACATTGAAGAGGAGTGGACCAACATTCCAAAGGCCACAATCAATAACCTGATCAACTCTGCAAAGAAGATGCCTGAGGCAAATGGTGGTCTCACCACAAGGTTCTCACTGCTTTTCTGACCCCCTAAAATTCCACAATAAAGCAAAACTGCACATTTCAGAGTGGCCTTTTATTATGGCCAGCCTAAGGCACACCTGTGCGATAATCATGCTATTTAATCAGCATCTTGACATGCTACACCAGCGATGTTGGAATGGCTTAGCTCAACAAAGAAATGCACAATAAAACATTTTGACAGATGTTGCAACGGGTGCTTCAAATCAACCAGCAGGTAAACCAGTCAGCAGGTTTACAAGCTAGCACCCAGGAGTTCAATTACCTGCTGGTTGATTAGAAGCACCTCTGGCTAAAGCCAAATTGTGGCACGAATTTTACTTTCTGGCCCTGGATTTGACACCTATTTTAGTGGGCAACCATTGCCAATCACTACAGCAATCAGAATGATAAAATGTGTTTTTTTTTTTTTTTTTTATTTTGAGTGAATATTTTGATGTAGGGTTCCCATTCTTTTCTTGAAATTATTTTCCAGGACTTCCCGGACTTTTCCATCTGCTACATCCATCCATCCATCCATTCGCTGATCCGCTTATCCTCATACGGATTACGGGGCATGCTGGAGCCTATCCCAGCTGTCTTCGGGCAGTAGGTGGGGGACACCCTGGACTGGTTGCCAGCCAATTGCAGGGCAAACATCGATGAACAACCATCCGCACCCACAATCACACCTCGGGGCAATTTAGACTGTTCCATCAACCTGCCACGCACGTTTTTGAAATGGGGGACGAAACCCACGCAGGCACATCAAATAAAACTTTGACCCGTAGAAATTAATGGGCCTCCTTTGCCAAGTACTAACTACAGCAATCAAAATGAGAAAATGTTTTTTGTAGATTTTTGATGATTGTTTTGGTGATTAAACTATCTCCTACTTTTGTAAAATGACAGATATAATAACACTTTGATCTGTAGTAATTAGTAGGGCACCATTGCTAACTACTACAGCAATCAAAATGAGAAAGGGTGTTTTTTCCTTGATTTTTTTGTCAAAGTAGGACTATTTTCATCGTTGAAATGACTCGTACTTCTCCAAAATGACACATATGATGAAAATTTGAGGTGTCGAAGTTAGAGACCTCCCCTTTGCCGTGGACTACAGCAATAAGAATGAGAAAAGGTGATTTACTTGATTTTTGGTGAATATTTTTGTCAATTTGTGACTACTATTGTAACTTAAATGCCTCTTATTTTCCCGTAATGAGAGATATCAGCACAATGTGTGCTGCGGTACTGAGTGATCTACCATTTTCAGCTACCACTGCATTCAAAATGAAAGAAAAAAAATACATATTTATGCACAGTGGACAACTGTTTAACATGTCTGCTTGATTGATCACTCTAAATTGTCCCTCGGTGTGATTGTAAGTATGAATGGTTGTTTGTCTATGTGTGCCGTGGGATTAGCTGGCAACCAGTCAGGGTATACCCCCAACTACTGCCTGAAGTCAGGATCCAGCATGCCCATGAACCTCGGGAGGAAAAGTCTTTATTTAAATGAATTAAAGATACTATGAAAGTTTGCTCGGGGTCAAAATGTGTTGTGATGAACCAGAAAAAAAAACTGTTTATCGGCATCTTTGTTTTTTTACATTCGCCTTCAACGCTTTGGGGTCCTAAATGGGACAATCCGAGAGGATCATTCCGATTTCCCACATTACGTGAATGCAGCCTGAATCCGTGGAAGAAGGGGTGAGCACTGCACTGCACTCCCGGTTAAAGATGGCGACTAAGTGTGCACGTTCTCGACCAGGCAAGGCTCTTTCTGGGATATGTACACGTGCTAGGACACCATGAACCTGTGTTGATGACATTACTGCTGCTTGGTGGCAGCAGTTCCGTTAACATGCAAACGCTATTGTCACAATATTTGTTTGGTCAAAGTTTTAATCTCAGCATTCAAAAATAAACGCTCCTTAATCGGTCGCCGTCGAAACAGGACCGAGAAATAGAGATAAATAATCTTGCCATATCAATTTCGCAAAGACCGAGGAGTGTAGCTATTATGAGAAATTTAGATCGCGTTTTCGTAAGTATTGTATACTACAACAATAGATGCATTGCAATTAAGAGATTTGAGTTCTACCCGACGGTGACGTATTTCAAGGTACGCCTTCTGGACGTGGACCAACAGGGTGTGTTTACGTTTTTATTCACAGCACGTGGACCAATCACCAGAATGTGCGTGGAACCTTGAGGGGTTGGGTCTTAATGCAGAGTGGTTGCACATCGATGTGATTTTCCTCCATTACATCAAGGTACTGTTGGATAGTAAGAACTGGTCTTCCAAATTAAGATGCATAACAGTTTCCAACAAACAAAATGGACGGCTTTCATTTTAGAACGGCCACCCATTCTTATCCTTAATCGTCTTCTTGTGTAACAGGCATTGCATACAATTATCACTCGCCTATATTGTACTTTAGGAGCAACCATTTCAGTTTAGGGAAAAAATTATTGTAACACCAATATAATTTAAGAGACATTTGAATGTCCTCCACCACATGACAAGACTCAGTTTAGTAGTACAATTGAAGACTGTAAAATGTTTCCAATTAACGAAACTGAATGCTTTCGTTTACGAACGGATAATCCATTCTTATCCTGAATCTTATTCTTATTATACATGCATTGCATATAATCATCATTCGGCCATATGGTGCTTTAGTAACAACTCTTTCAGTTTTGGCTTCAAAATTATTGTAACACTAACTGGATAAACATTTGAATACAATATCATCGACCACTTTACACGACTTCATTGGTACTTTCAAAAACCGGAAATAGTATATTCTAATGTTCAGCTTGACTTTTTTTTGTGTGTCGAGCGAGCATCGACTTCAGTGGATCCAATGAGGTGACGCCGCGTTCCGGGCCCGACTGATGAAGTCAAACCGGTGATAAGCTGGGCTAAAACTGTCCTGTATTAAAATCCAGAGGCTCTAAATCGCCTCAAAAGTAGTCATCTAATATCAGAGGAAACACGAAAGAGGGCTGTGTGTTGTTAGTTCGGTCCGCAATTGTATATCCCGAAGAAAGGTAAGTTCACGTAAGTGTTAGTCATGCGGCTCTGTCCATGCTTTCCTGCTAGCTAACAGAATGTTGTCAATTTCGAATAGTGGGTGCGATTCTAATGCAGCGTTATTTTTGCTTAATACATGCAGTTGAAACGTGTTCCTGGCGCGGCTTTGTGTGTACAGTATTGAAATGAAAGGTTAACGTGTAGGATAATAAGTTTTACACTCCATTCCGCAACTCACAATTGTATCTCCTGGTATACAGTGTAAAATACTTGGTAGACATTAAAGCCAAAACCAACTCAAAGGGCTGGTAAAGCCAGGAAGGTCACGAAATTTCTCTTGTCCACGCTATTGTTTTAATGACCGTTTATTCTTGGCAAAACTGTATGTTTTAATGGTCAATGCATCTTTATATAACTCAACATTAACTACATCTTAGAAGAGATAATTTGGTGAGTCAAAAAAAAAGGACACTGATTCCATAATGAATCTGTTATCATTTCAGCTCGTCATGGTGTGGAGAAAGCTTCCATTGGCTACTTTGTTCTGCCTTGTTCTAGCAATGTTGCCTTCTCACACAGGTATGAGCTGCAGATAATATTTTATATTTTTGTCTGGGGTTGTGTATTCACTGCAATATTGCAGACTCTACAAGGGTTGAAATATAACTACAGTAAATGAAAATATTGATGGAATGATTTGTGGTATACTTTTGCAGATGCTGTGGCAGTCATGTCAATAGATGTAGGGAGTGAATGGATGAAGATGGCAATAGTCAAACCTGGTGTGCCAATGGAGATTGTTCTCAACAAGTGGGTAGCAATAAGCCTCCACACAGGACACAAAACATGCATATCTGGTTCACATTGCTAATTCAGTAGCAGGTAAAAGGAATACGTTTGGATATTGCATGTCATGGTATTCTCACTTTTTGTTGTATTTTTAGAGAGTCGAGGAGGAAAACACCTGCAGTTGTATGTCTCAAAGAAAATGAAAGACTTTTCGGCGACAGTGCTTTAGGAGTGGTAAGCCTTTTTTTTATTTTATTTTATTTGTTTTGATAAGTTACAATCTCTCATCATATTCACACTGCCCATTTAATTGTTGCACATTTTGCGTGAAATCTTATGTTATTCATTGTTGCCTGTCAACATTTTCAGTCTGTGAAGAACCCGAAAACTGTCTATCGACACCTGCAAAATCTCATGGGCAAAAAGCACGACAACCCACTTACAGCACTTTACCGGAAACAGTTTCCTGAGCACCAACTTCAAGTTGACCCTTCCCGAGACACAATTTACTTCAAAGACTCAGAGTAAGTGTGTGTGTGTCTGTCTGTAGTTTTTGCCCGTTTACCTCAGCGTACTGTGTCTGCTCATCAGCACTGAAGACGTCACCTTTATTTTCACACACGATTGTATGTTCTCAATGTCATCTGTGAGGCGTTAGTGATTTTTGTTTTCAATAGTTGATGTCACTCTGAGCATTAAAAGTTCTGTTTTCTTCAGAAACTTTATTGTCCTCGGTTTGCCGACCTGGAGTCAAATAGCTGAAAAAAATCTTGCCTCCAGGTGGTGCATATAGTGATGTATATTTCGAGCGATAAATAATAATAGTACTTATAATAATAATGTTACAAGATGACCATTATCTTCAAGATTACATGTGGGTAAAAAAATTGTGAAAATTCAATATTTATTTTCCTAAGTAACAGAGAGCCATATCAGATGGTTGAAAGAGCCACAATGTCTCTTGAGGTTGAAGACACCTCTTAGGTGTCAAAAGCTGTGTGTTTTTGCTCATTATCCTGTTACAAGACCTGCAACTAAGACCAAGCTTTCTGACACTGGGCAGCACATTTCTCTCCTGAATACTTCGATAGTCTTGAGAATTCATTGTAACCTGCACAGATTATAGGCACCTTGTATGAGATGAAGCAAGAAAAAAAAACTCAGAATATAGGAGCCTCCATGTTTCACAATGGGCACAATGCTCTTTTCTTGGTATGCTTCATTTTTGTTTTGTCTCATCTGTCCAAAGGACATTGTCTCAGAAATTTGTGGCTTGTCAACATTCAGTTTGGCAATGCCAGTCTCCCTCATTTATGATTTATTTTTCGCGCTGGTGCAATCCTAGATAATTTCCCATGAAGTCCCCTATGGTGCTATCGCCAACAAGCTATCCGCACAATATTTTTTTGATTTATTGGCAACAAATGTGAGCTCCGGTGAGCAGAGATGAAAGTCCTCCGGATTTTCCCGGAATTCCGGGTTTTTCAAATTTTTATGAAAATTTCTCCGGAGAATTGAGGAAAATTTGCATAAAATTAATCCGGATATTAGTTGACAACATTGAACGAAGACGCATTTGAGTTCGTTGTATTGCTTTCACGAGCGTAGCCATATTGAGGCACTAACACTAGTAACAGTAAAGAGATTTTT